CACCAAGTGGACATCAAAGGCATCGTCACAGAGAACGGTTGGATGACAACAATGAGTTAAGAAGGTCGAGGATTTCACCTACATCAGTTAGAACTGGACCAATGGAAAATCGCGAATATTTGTATGTTATACGTTCAGCTTTGCTTTGATTTATGTTCGGTTTTCTTGTTTTCTACATTCATGTCATCAAAGAGTCGAACGGGTTTTATTTAATTTGTCCTTTTTGCTTCTGGGAGTCAAACTGAGTATACCTAGGCTTATAAGTATTATACGTAAATATTAGGGCGATAATTTGAGAGAGAACTTTTACTAAGGTAGGTTGACAGTGCTGCGGCAGATATTATATTCTTAAACATGCAGACTACTCTTGTATTGTCTGGCACAAAGCAAGTGCAGCAGAAGAGTATTTTTATCACTGTATTTTGAAATTTCTTGTCTACATTACTGGTGCTTTTCTTGGTGACTGTTGGCAAATGTCTGAATAATAACCGTGCTTTGTTGATCGGCCAAAGGAGAGACATCGATCGAAGACGCTGAGATGGGAGAATGGAATTGAACGAATAGAAGTTTAGATAATTGAAAGTTGTCAAGGTGGAATATTTTGATGATTGTCTTTCATTATGGGAAAAAAGCTCCAGTTTTTGGATCGTCGAATGTTTTCTTCAATATATGTTGCTGATAATTTTACATCCGATAGTTTGAAACAGGGATAATATAAGCTTTTATTTCCAAGAGATGGATAATCTTATCATCCACGATATGGTTTATCACATTCAGGAACATTCTGCTAAATGAAAAATCAGATGAATTGAAAAATGAACATAGCGAAGGCATACATCGAATGATTATTACATTTTTGAGGTGGCTTCGATGAACAAGAGACTGATCCTACCATCGACATCTGTTATTTGTAAATTGATCCAGTATGAAATACGAAGATTTTGGATCTTTTAGATGCTAATTGTTTATGCAGATTGAATTTAGCGTTTTAACTGGAGAAAAAGTTGGAGTGGAATAATTTTAAACAGATCACCAATTGTTTGTTGTCAGCTTTACATTTATCTAATGTCGCTGCGATTTTATGACGACGTATTTAATCTTTTTCTAAATTCTTGGACTAGTAATTTATTCTACCTGATCCTGTATTATGATACACAGCAACCGACAACTTTCTAAATCAATTTCACATTTTCGAAAAAATGACAAATTCGAGGATGTTTATTATGATTTATACGAGATTTATTCGGGAAAGATATTCATTAAAAATGCAGGAGTCTAATGTGCAAATTATTAGAAAGAAATTTGAGGCAATTTTCATGATTTCCGTATGGATGACGAAGTTTGCCGAGAATGCTACTCAAATGCAAAATTAAATGCAAATAGTTCCGTAAATTTTTTTGATGAAGAACATTGAATCCTTCAATGTAGCGAATGATTTCGAAAAATTTTATTATACTTCAATGATCTCCAAAATCGACATGTGATCGGAAATTTTCAATAAAAATAATTATTCCTGTTAAGTGCTGGCCTCGGAAAATGCCAGCTTTAATTTTTCATGGGAAGGCATTAATTAATGGGAAGGTATTAATTTCAAGTGATCAATTCAGTTAATATATTAGGTTGGATCGTTATATATATGCAGGTATTGGAAGTGTATAATATGTTATATATTCAAATATGGTTATGACGAAGTGAATGGAAGTGATGTTTATATGTAAGCAGAGTGAATCTGGAAAATTGGACAATAATTTATTAGGATGGGGCATAAAGAGGAACGTAGTGATATGGAGTGCAATTTTAATCTAGCTCTGTATGCATAATATTCCTTCAATAAATCTGAATTGGTAAACAAAACCAAAGGGAAAAAAATATCTTGCTAAAACTAAACAATAACGATTGTAAGAACGATATTATACGAGCGGTTATTAATAAAAGGAAGCCAAGGAACTGGAAGAATTACTGACATTACTTATTTCAGTTGAATTTTGAGTGCGAAAATCATTATTAATATGCTTTTTTTAGCTTGGGCTGGAACATTTTCCTATAACAGATGATTTTAAGAAAGCATGAGTTAACAAAAGACTATCGAGGACGTGATCGATTGATTGCTTTGGATAAAGCCAGGAGCGAAGAAGTTCGTTCACATGATGAAATTAATCGTAATACCAATCGAATACAGCCATCAGAATATGGTGCGGGCCGGATGCAAAATTACTATGTGCAGACCGAATCTCAGCTCGCTACCGAAGGAATCGCAGGAAAATTTAACAACAGTGATTTTTTCCATAATAGTTTTGTTTTGCTTTTGGTTTCTACATCTTTTGGTACAATTTCCTTTTGAAATTTTTGCTCGTAAAATTTTTTTTTTAATTTGAAATTCATATTTATGTTTTCAAAAAGTTTGCAACTATTATTCGATGTAAGCGTCTGCCATACGTGCTGTGTTGAAATATTTTATATTCTACAAAATAGTCATTAACTTTCTAGTTTAGTTTGTCAAATTGGCGTATCATTAACTTTCTAGTTTAGACTTGTCAAATTGGCGTATAGAGGATTTGCTGGAAGGACAATCAATGCTCAACGTAGATAGCATACAAAGTTTGTTTTTGTTTCAAATACTTTTTTTCTGTTTTGGTATTGTTGGTTGACTGACACCAGGAAATATTTCAGTTTCGAGGCAAGCATAACGTTTGTTGCACCAAAATTCCGGTCATTGTTATCACATTTTTTTCTGGTCAGCTGTCATTATTGATGTGGCTTTCTTTTAAAAATAGCTACAGAACTTTGTACATTTATTTCTGTTCTTTCCATTCCATCATTCGAGTCGAATTTCGGTAAAATTTCTGTATACCGCTATGTTACTGTCGAAATTTAGATGCACAAACATGGATAACCAACGATAATAGTTTAAGCCCAGCACAAGTTGTACGGGCTCGTGAACTTCTTCAAGAATTGTTAATTACAATCACAACGAAACCAGATATGCCAATTGCTGGTAGGTTTTCGAAGATTTAGCTGATAATTTTCGTAATTCAAAATTACACTACTTTATTTCAAATGGTTAAATTTTTTTTCAAATAAATAGAATTTAGGCAGAAATGTTCCTACTACGATGCGCCAGTCTATTTATATCGCAGAGCATAGTTTTCCAGAAGATAGGCAGTCGAATTTTGCTGGTCGTCGAATTTCTGATTACACGTCATCACGAAGTTTTTCTCAGCAGAATACCCAATCTCCACTACGGAGTGATATTGCAGTACATGGACGAGAATTGTCGGCTATGCAGAATTCCTTGCCTCTCGATGTACCATTAACACTTCCAGCACAAAACTGGCGCGACGATTCCGTCGCGACGTACTCTGATTCTAGTGAAATGCCTATGAATTCCCGAGAAATGCCTAAAAATTCCGATTTTCGTATGTTTCATCATTATTGTCTGACCATTCTGTTTAAATTTTAATTTATTCATATTACAGTTCTGTAATTCATATTTTCAACCGTAAATTTTATTCGATATTTATCATTTATCGGAGACTAATTCCCTCAAGTACACCGCATTAAATCAGTTTTTCTCTAGAACTTTATATAGTAAATATATTCCACAGCAGGTTGCGGAAATGATTATCCAACGCCGTATCTAGAAAACGCTGAATTTAGAAAAGGAAGTGCAATTCTTTCAGGCCCGGAAAAACGAAGACCGCATTATCAGGATTGTCGTCGAACATCTCGGTCTAGAAGCCGAAGTTTAGGAAAAGATTGTGGTTAGTACTGAAATATTTTTGTGCAACGTAATTTTCCAGAAGCTATGATCGTACTTTTTTATGCGAACATATTACTCAAAAATCTTTTCTTTCCAGACATGGGCATTGGAGAGCGGCGAGTACATATGAAATCTCGAGGTTTTATTAGCGTTGAAGTAAATCATCAACAAAAAGGACCACGAAGGAATTATGTGTCATATGAGGTTTATGATTTAATTAGTATGTTGTTTATGGATAAAATTGTGAAGTGAACTGATTAAAGCTTATAATAATGAGTTGCCCAAGAATAAATAACAATTGAACATCACAATTTCACCTATTAGAAAATTACTTTAAATGCTTTGGGCGGCATAGGACGTATGCATTTCATTATTTCTAATCTTATGGAAGTTTCAGATAAGTCACAATCGTCACAGAGAAAATAGAGGTGAAAGATGTTTGCGTCGTTCGTCACCACTTATGCGCACTGTGAGAAGACGCAGAAGATAAAAATATAAAAAATAGCTATTTTAAGCTTATGAAATTGTCTCTTTCTTTGTATTATTATTTGTATTATTTATTATTTGTCTTATTTATTTGTGTCATTTATTATTTGTGCTATTTATCGTTTATGTTATTATTTATTTATTTATTTATTATTCGTATTATTTATTGTCAAATATTTTTATTAATTTATAAACAGCATGATTTTATTCTACAAATTTCTGTGGTTTGTAAGGTTGCTACAGGATCAGTCAGAGACTTATCGGCTTTTAGGAGTAAGACCGACGCCCAGAACCAAATTCTTTAATCGGCTTAAATGTGTTTTCTCCTTTGCTACATGCTTTTATCATATATATTTTTTCAGCTCATTTTTCTATGTAACTTTTTTTCGATATTTCCGTCTCTTTATTTCAATAAATTTATGCTTTTTTCTGTTCAATATCATTATTGAGTCAATGTTTGCAGTGAGAGCTTTCATTCTAATTTAAGTTTTTGAAAACATTTTATTTTTATATTTTATGTGAAATGGCATTTTGTTCCAAAACTTCCTTTGTTGTAATATCGTAATATATTATTTTTTATAAAAGTTTTGTAGATGTAATTCACCTTATACAGTAAGTTGTTCAAAGTCTTACTTCTTACGCTATAGGATTGAAGCACGAAAATATAACATTTGGGAGAATTAATTGTTGGCTTGAAATAGTTGAAAATTTGTGAAATTTTTTGCGTTATGAAATTTTATAATTTTTCCTCTTTCGTCAAGATGCCACAAAGAAGTTCATCTGATTGATATTATTATATCGACAATGACTGAGTTAGCAAGTGATATGGAGAAAATAATAAGACTTTCTGAATCAAGTTAGTTTATTTTCGCGATTTCTTTAGCTAGATTATCAACAAATGCGTAATAGATCACCGATAAAATATTTTAGAGTCCTCAGCATATCACTGATGGCTTAATTAAAGCTCGGATATTGCTTCAGTGTGGATACTAATCATGCATTTGCAAAACGTATTTGTTTATAGCCTACAGCGTGGCGATTTCTCGTTGTTTGCAAATATTTGAATCTGGTGGTATCGTTGCGTTACCGACGGATACATTATATGGCGTGGTTACAACAATGTCAACTGCTAATAAACTGTATAAATTGAAGCGTCGTAGTCATTTAAAACCTCTTGGTTTATTTGTTAGCAATGTTCAGGAAATTCAAAGGTCTGTCAGTCGATCGAGCTTCATGATTCTTAATTATAAGTGATATATATATATATATAATAAATATTAATTATAAGTGTTGTATATAGAATTAATGTTTGTATACCTTGAAAAACAACTATGAATAGTAAAAGATAAATGTTAATTAATTTTCGAATTTAATTTACGATAGCTGTTTCATGTAATGAATTATTTATACGAAGGAATTGCTTTTAACTTATGAATCAAAATAACTTATGATTTTATTATTAGGTGGTGTCGTCAAACGATTGAAAATAGCCAACTGAAGGCATTATTACCGGGACCAGTAACGTTAATTTTTGAACGTTCTACTTCCCTTCCAAGCACTTTCAATCCAAAACATAGAACAGTTGGTATTCGAATTCCTGATCACGATTTTGTTCGTTCATTGATGACTTCCTTAGATGATGTTCCGCTTGCACAAACCAGTGCCAATATTTCCAATGATCAAAATAATCCAGCATGCATTGAAGTAAGTGTGAATATATTGTGTCGAAATTTATTTGATTATTCTGGAAAATAAATGCTATTTTAAGCATATAGTGTCTACTATGATAAAATACTTTCCGTTAATACTTTATGATATAATGCTAAATTAATTTCAAACGCTTATTCTTTAATGAATTTCGATTTGATACAGGCGAAGTTCAAATCAAAATCTTCAGCACTTAGATATTTCCATTTTTTTATTTATTCCTTTGAAGATTTAAAATACTGAAGGGTGGATTGCCTTCAACATGTTTTTCATTTATTTCAATATACAATTTATAGGATTTCAAAAACTTGTGGCCAAAATTGGATCTGATAATAGATGGTGGCGTAGTATTGAGTCCAGATGGTAAAGTGAATCACGAAGGTAGTACGGTGGTAAATCTGAGCATCCCCGGCATGTATAGCATAATGCGAGACGGATGGTATGTTTTAATAAATTGTATGGATTAATTAGCGGTAAAATTCACTTTATTGATTTTCTTTATTTGAAGTATTATAAACAGATTTTTAGAACGGCAACGGAGCAAAAAAATTATAAACAAATTTTTAGCGCAAGGATAGCAACGGAGCAAAAGTTACGGAATTGGGGACTGATTAGTTCATCAGATGGTGATTATGTGCAGTAAAATTATATCATGGACTAAAATTATACAAAATTTTTTTTGAAGTTTGTAGAGTTTTCAAACTTCTACATTACACTTGTTTTCTTTATCGCTACGAGAATGTCTTTTCAAGTGACAGGTTTTTTTTTTTTTCGAAGGTTGCTCTTCACGAATGTTTGAGGGTTACTAACATGAAATTAACGAAACAGTAGGTCAATTACAGCATGATCGCCATTTCAAGTCAAATTTTTTTCTTGTTCTTCGTTCTGATACATTGTATAACTTTTTGACTGCCTGATCATCCTGAGAATATGGCATTATATATTGGCCACTTTTCCTTATTTCAAGGATCTGTAAATAAATTCAAAAAATTCACAGTCAATTTCAATAGCTTGAATATTGTACATTTGTGAATCTTAAAGAAGAAGAAATTTGAATTTAATCATACCTGTTCTGCCAATAAACCAAATGCATTTTCAATGCCATAATTGGCTTTCGCCGATGTTTTCAGAGCATTCAGGAAGCCTCCTTTTTCACGATACTCCTCCAGCTTGTCATCTGTTACTTTATTGTCAAGATCAGCCTGAAGGAATGAATGTTTTAATTATCATTCAGAAGCAATCAAAACATATATTTACGAATGGATGGGCAACTTGCTAATTTTATAAAAGCCAATACCCATTTTTGCATATCAGAAATTTTTTCCAAATAATAACCTACCAATAAAACAGGCATAAAATTCCTTATTGTAGTACATATCTATTATTGAATAAAGATTTTAAAAAGAGTCAAGGTTTTTTTTTCATTGCTGAGAGAAAATAGCTTTAGCCAAAAAATATGAGCGTTAATAATACTTATTATTATCACCACATGGTGTATATGTGGTTAATTCAGTGAAGTTTTCTCTTAATTGGTATTTAATTGTTATTTTAAAATAAAAGATGGAGAGCACCTTATTAGCAAGAAGTATACAAGGTAATGGTTTTTCATTAGCAAGAGTAATTTTACTATCCAGATCGGTTTTCCAGCGTAGCGCTCCATCATAGGTATTTTGACGAGTGCAGTCGAATACGACAAGAGCACCATGAGCATCCTTATAGTATACTCGTGTCATATTACTGAATCGATCTTGACCTAAGAACAAATTGTTACACTTGAACATCATTTAGAGAGGACATTTTTTTTAAAAAACTTATCTATTAGAATTTGAAATGAAAATAAATAATTATTAGCCTGAAATATCCCACAGTTGCAATCGTAGTGTTATGTCATCATTCCATGATAAATTTTTTGTTGCAAAATCAACACCAACCTAAAATTCTGAATCAAATTCATCTGACAATTTCAGCAACTAGCATTTTTTTATGGCTTTTTGTGACAAATTTCAATTGTTTTAAAGTATAACGATTCAAATTTCATTACCGGTATGTGCAGAATTTTATTAACTTTGACATTTTTTTTTGATATAAATGACAAACCGTAGCCTTATAATGTTGCGTGAATAAATTATGCGCATAACGCTGTACGATAGATGATTTCCCGGTGCCAACATCGCCAATAATTAAAATTTTAAACAAAAATTGATCTTTAGGATATACTGCATATCCGTTTGATGATGATGTAGACGGCTGAAAATTGGATTTTTTTTTTCATTTTTTAAATCTCTAACAGTATTCTTAATTTATTTGAATAATTTTGAAGATCGGAACGAAAAGAAATAACGCAAAGTTTTTGTAAACATGAAATACTTATTAAAATTTCATCCAGTGTTTTCTCTGCGGGTATATTTATATATTGCAAAATGTATTCCAACAGAAAATAATTTTGAATAAATCATATTTTGCTCAGTTCAAGTCATTTAAATAAAAATACAAAAAAAAAAGAGAAGAAACTGAATTCATTTCATTAGATGACTAACTATTCATATCAATTTAATTACATAAATGAGAACTCTTAAATTCATGATTTTGCTCAAATTTTTAAACTAATATCATAATATTATTTGCTTACCTGGGATGAATTCATAAATAATTGAACAGGTATTTGTAGCAAATGTAATTTTGAAAATGATTTTGCTTTTTTGTAAACACAACTGAATAACGACGAATGATTGCCTTTAGGCGACTGAAAGGAGGACTGATAATGTCATCTGCGATAACGATAACGAAGAAAAGGGTATAGGGCTCACCTACTGTAACTACCATTACTCCTAACTGATAACGAAGTATGCTACAGTTCATAGAAAATAAATAAACTTGCTTCTTTATGCATTTCAAATCATCTCTTATCGATTTTCAATGTTCTGAATGCAATGGATACGAGATAATTATTAATGGTAATCAATTTGAAAATTTCATTTATCGATTTCTTATCTGATTGATTTTTATTTACACGCAAAGAGAGGAAACAATAAATTCATGAAATAGTAAAGTTTGGAATAAGAACTGATCATAATTTGATATTAAATTATGAGCCTGAAAATGACAAAAAGTTATCAGCCTAAGTTGAATGATACCGTCCCTTTCTTTTTTCTTTTGATAGAAAAGTCCTAAATTTCATCAAACGTTTCATCATTTCAATAAATTGAAATAACTGTTTGGATTTTAGAGTTAAAAAGTAAATTAAAGAATAATTGAAAGTAAAATTTAAAATTGAACCATTAAAAGATAATTATTACCTTTCACATCAGCGAATTTGGGCTAAAAATAATAAGAATATGCAAATAAATTCTTGATTTTAAACCTTAGATGTCTAATAATAATCTGCAGTTTTCCTTCTAACTGTTGTCGCAAAAAAAAGATTATTTATATTTTTCAATTATAAAACTAAAGGTCTTAATTTGCCTGTCATCGCAACTCACTGAGAGATTTCAATTTTAAACTTCAAATTTCGAAATAGAAAAAAAGAAAGAAAGAAAGGCATTTGCTTGATAATTTTCTTTTTGTTGCAGTAAAATGTTCTTTAGAGCAATATTTTTCAAAAATCTCCAAGGCGAAAACTTTAGAAAAAAAATTTACAGTCGTGCTGATAATTCCTGGACAATTTACTGCATTTCATAGTTAAAAAGACTGTTAATCGTAATTAATCGATTAATTAACCTTCAACGAAATTAATATCCATCTGAAATAATTACAAGTTAATTTCATGATTCACTACAAAAATATCTATTTAATTAAAGTGAACTTAATATCGATTAAGATTACTTTATGTAAAAATAATTTTCTGCATCAAAATTATCACTAATTGATTTAAATAAATATATGAATAGCTTATATTATTCAAATTAATTTAGATCTAAATATAACATCTGTTTTTCAATTTCAATTCAATGTATAACAAGCTTAGCTTAGCCTCAAAATATGCTACAAGCTTAGCCT